GGTCTTGAAACTGGTGGGGCTCGAAACCGGTGGGGGGTGCACGGGCGTGTCCTAAGGTCTTGAAACTGGTGGGGCTTGAAAAAAAGGTGTCCTCTCTCACCTTTCCTGGCCGAAATCTCCAGGCCCAAGCCGACCTTTGTCCGGGCGAACGACAAGAAATGCCGCCCGATCCACTTGTGGCTCCCAAAGATGGTGGTGTTCCTACTGGTTCCCCACAAACCCTCAACTCTCTTCCAATTGGCGGTTTGGTTTGGTTTTGAGGTTTGGTGGTTAGGGAGTGGTTTCCCATTTACACTCCACAAGAAACACGGCTTCAAATCCCCAATCCACCAATCCAAACCCCAACTAATGGTTGCCTGACTTGCTGTGGTTGTGAAAGGACAACCTCGGGAAAGGATTCCCATGGCAACTTCACGACTTTATCACCTTCTCTTGGCCAGAAGATAGTAGCAAAAGAGGTTTGCCCTTCGGACGGCTTTGAATGGAACATCGGAAGAAGCCATCCCAACTCTCCATAGTTCGCCGAGGGGTGGGCTTTTCACTCTTCAGGCTTACCTTAGAAACGTGGATGGGATGTGTGTGTCTTGTCCCTCGGCTTGCGCTCCTTTCGCTTCTTTGACGAAGAACCAGACAAAAACATGCCATGTTCAGCGATTGGCTTCCAACCTCCCTCATTGACCAGACACAAGCCCGGATATTCGACCGCACCTAGATTTGTCTTCAAATAGGAGGACCCGCAACATTTTGGCCGACTTGCTTCCTTTTGAGCCAATCAAAAATACGGAGCGCCCGGCCTCGAGAAAAGTCACGCCCCTATGGAAGGCTCCGAAAAAAGTCTTCCCCGAGCGAATCGACCGATTCGGGTGCCGCGGCTCCGGGATTCGACGCCTTCGCGGCCGTAGACGGAGGTGTTGATGCCGTGCCTCGAGAGGAGCCTCTGCACCTCCATCTGCTGTGCCTGCCAACGAATTCGGCGAGGCGGTGGCATATGGTCGGTCCAAATCCCGTACCCCCAGTGAACATCCCAATCCCCACTAAAATTTACTAAACTGGGTAGTGCACCTATCCCAAAATGGTGCCAGTGGTTTTGAAGAAAAAAATGACACACCCAAATTGGCCCGGGTTTTGAACGGTAGCTTGACTCATTCAAGACATAGATGTGTATGGTGCCCAAAACGGAAACTAAGAGCAAAACCTGCGTAGCCCTGGCTCTTGATCGTTGAGCCACACCCATGTATCTGTTGGATGGTGATCACACACACATGATGTGCTGCACATACACATGATGTGCTGGGCTTTCCAAAGAGAGGAGGGGCCATGGACGGAAAGGCCCGACTGGGCGCGCCTTTAAGCTTGTCCGAGGCTAAGGGAAGCTGGCCAAGCCTACCCTTTGAGCTGGATTCTTAGGGTCACAACGAGTCCCAAGAATGGCTTTCCACTGCATTGAAGTTGACCCCGAACTGAGACCCGTGTAGTGTATCCAAAATGTGGGGTTGTCTCCAATTCGGGCTTTCTTTCATTGGGAGAGTCTTCTTCTAACTCGAGGCTTGTTTGTGAGCAAGGCTCACAGCAGGCTGGACTTTCCTTTCACATCCGCGACAAAGAGAAAAACAAGGAATCCCTTTGCAAGCACAAGCTCCAGAAAAGGGACGCCGCCCCTGAAAAAAGGAAACAATTATGCCCACTGCTTTTGGCCCAACGGCAGCCGCAACCGCCACCGCCCGAGTTGTTTTTGCATTTGGCTCCGCACATCCCAAAACCGACCCTCCCCCACTGGCTCCCACCCCCCCACCACCCCCACCCCACCCCCCCCCACCCCCACCCCCACCCCCCCACCCGCCCCCACTGCCCCCCACCACCCCCACCCCCCAGCCCCCACTGCCTCCCCGGGGCCGAAGTCATGCGAACCTCGCCGCAGCGTTTCTCGGGCGATACGGCGATCGGATACTCGGCGATGCCTCTGGTGGGAGGAGCCCGAATCGTCCATCTTGCGGTCATCAAAAAGAAAGCAACTTTCTTCTGGATCAAAGTGGATTCAGGTAGCCCCTGATTTGTGGCTTGGATCATTTTTGTTGGGAGTTGACCCCCTGGTTCTTGCAGAGGAAGCAAAAAAGCACCAAACCGCCGAACCACCAAACCACCAAACCGCCGAACAACCAAACCACCAAACCACCAAACCGCCAAACCGCCGAACAACCAAACCAACCCACCAAACCGCCAAACCACCAAACCACCAAACCACCAAATCACCAAACCACCAAACCACCAAACCACCAAACCACCAAAGGGGAGGTGTGGGAGGGGGGGGGCGGGGGAATCGGCTAGAAGGGCAGATTGGCCGGTCACGCCTTCAAGAATTATTGTTGGTCATGTCGCATCGCCAACCGCTGTTGAGACGAATCTGCTTGGTGGTTTGAAGATGTTCTCAGAAGGTGCCTGAGCAGGTTTATTGTTTGGCAAGCTTGGTACCTTTAAGCAAAGCCCAAAGCCAACAGCCAAAGAAGCCGAAGCCGAGAGCCGAAGCAGCAGACAAGTCATGCAAGCCCCAAGCATCTCGACTCATGTCACTTCAACTGACCCAAACACCCACCCGCCCAAGCCCCCCCGCCACCCACCCCACAGAAGGATCCCCCCCCCACCCTCCTTCCCCCCCCCACCCCAAAACACCCCGCGCACCGAGCCCCTCCAAGCGCCGCGCTGGACGTGGAAACGCCACGAACCCATGTTCCGGCCGCGGGCCTCAGACGTTTCATTTTGGGGCCCTGAAAACAACCACACAGATGGGGTCAACCAAAACCAAAGCCTCTGAACACATCACCCCACCACAGGAAGCTCAGATACATTGGTTCCAAACGTGATGTTGAAACCGCCCTTGCGGCCAGGCTTCAGTTGGAACCCTGCCGCTTTGGCTTGGACCGGTGAGCACACCGACGTGGATTTCAAAGACTGGTTGGGTCTGGTGAGAGCACTTCAAACGTCTCCCCTACGAATTCTCCCCAAAAAATACAACACGGGTCCGGCGGGAGCACGTCATCTACTCCAATTCACATGGGCGTCCCCCCCAAAACAGCAAACACCAAAAAAAAAAAAGAAGAAGAAAGCTTTCAGAAAAAACAAATGTACAAACACACACACACACACACACACACACACACACACACACACACACACACACACACACACGCACAGAGACACCATTTGCAGAGCTTCGGGGAGTAACACCTCCAGCGAAACCTCCAGTCAGACCCGTTGAGTTTCACACGGGGCGCGGCCATCTTCCTGGCTCTCGGCCACCTCGGGGTCTCGGGTCTCGAGATCGGGGAATTGCCCCTTGGTGCTGGTGTCCAATGCAAACCAAAACCGAGGCGAGAATCTTGGAAACTTGGCAGGTAAATGGAAGCCAAGGGAACCAAAGGAAAACGAAGGAAACCACTCCAACACTCCAATCTTCTGCCCTCTCAGTTTTTGGGTTTGTGGCTTTCTCTGTTTCTTTTTTGTTTTCTTGCGGTTGCTGTTTCTTTCTTCTTCTTCTTCTTCTTTTTTGTTGTCTTTTTTGGGGGGGGTTTAACGTCAATTTGGGGGGGGGGGGTTAGCGCGATTGTTTGACGCATGCGGTGGCTGGAACCTTGCGCGGGAATTCTCTACATGCAACCTTGGCATGGAACCCAAAAAGGACGGCTCCCGAAAGGAGATTGGGGATAGTTTGTAGGGGTTCCATTTTGAGTCATCAAAACCTGGTATTAAAATGGTCTACCCAGTTGGGATTGTCCTTTACTAACCTTCATCTACCCGGGTGTTCATTGTGGCTTTGAAGACTATCCCGCGAACCCTCGCTGAGTCTCCAGCAGCGGCTTGCACTGATTCAATGGTTCCCATCGATACCTGGACTCAAGAGTCGCTGACACTGGGCTGTCCAAACTGATTCCCTGCTCAAGTTTCGCTCTTCGTGGATTAAACGGAAACCCAACCACTAAACCAACTAAAAAGCTAAACAGCTAAGACAATGGCTGGGAACCACCAAGATTAGAGTGCATGTTCCTTGGAATGCAACCGATACATCCACAGGTGTCCTTTTTGGAACATAGTGGAACTCCCTAAACCCTTAACCCTAAACCCTAAACCCTTTTTAACCAAACTGACCGGAAAAGGACACCTATGGATACATCTTCTCAGTCAGCTCTACTCCATAATCCCCACCTGGCGGTCCGAGCCGCAGCGGCAATGCCCGAAAGCGCGCCGTGTGCTGCTTCGCCCACGGGCAACTTGAATGATCTTCACCTCCTCCTCTCTTTGTTTTTTTAATGATCCAAAAATAGAAAAAGAAAAAAAACTCACCTCCTCTTCGGGGCCTCTCTCTTTGGAGTTTCTGCCCTGCCCGACCTGTGAGAAATTTTGGGAGACGTAATTTGAGCCCCGTGAACCTGGAGCCGAGAGTCCGCGCCCGACGCGCCCGGAGGATCTGTCCCCAACTCAACTCACTCCCGTGCCGTTGGGAAACAGTGAGCGAACTTCTGGCTGGCCACTCACATCTGGGTGACTTTTTCATATTCACCCACCTGAAATAAGGTGGGGGCGATTCCCCACATAAACCATTTGGGGGTGAATTCGGTCGCGTGAAAACTGTCATAATTCACCCACTAAACTGGTCTTTCCAAGAAGGCTTTTGAAGTCCAGGAACTCAGGGAGCTGAGCCAAATCGACGGGATCAGCACCGCTGGGTGGCCAAGAAACCCCTGGAAGCGCCCCTCGACGTGACCGGCCGCCGAATCGATGCGCCGATGCGCGCTGACGGCGCCTCTCTGGTGGTCCAGGCACCGCAAGCTTCCCATTTTTTGGGAGCACGAACGGGGCGGCGCTGAGACGCTGTCCAGGTAATTTTCGGGGGGCTGACCAAACACGTACCTAAAAAAATAGCCGCATTACTATGTTTCAGGGTTATTTTTTAACATATCTGGTTGATGCAGTTCTTGAAGATCTTGTATCAAACCGTTCTGAAAATCCATGCATGTGACTTTGGCCAGCCGTTGCCAATGCTGCATTATGGAGCTCTCACATGTCTGTACAGATTCACACCTGACAGCTCATGCTGTTGGGCGTGTCTTGAAATGCACCGAAAGAGGGGGCGGGGGGGAAGGGGGGAAGGGGGGAACCCAAAATGCCAGTCTTCCCTTCGGATTCCATATATAGTAAACCAAAAAAAAACTTTAAAAAAAATCCACAAAAGGACGCCCGCATTCGCCCCATTTCCTGAGATCCGCACGAAGAGTGGGCCTGATCTGGGCTTCAAGTCCTCACGCGGAGACTGAGACCCGGATGTCAAACACATCGGGTGTGCGTCTACCCCACTCTGAGGCGTACACCCGTGCGTCAAAGCACACGATGTCCTGCAAGGAAGTTGCGTGTATTTCTACACTCTGCTGAAGGGCATGTGTCAAAATAGGGGTGCCAAATGGAAGGGTTTCCTTTCGCCTCCCCTGAACCCAGCCCGAAGAATGTACAACAAACGCCCAACTGCACACCAAAAGCTCTGTACGCCAAAGCCCCCCTCCTCGCCATAGCCAGAGAACATCTCTCGCCGTCCTCAAGCCATCGAAAAAGTGACCAGGTCAAACGTTGTGCTGGTTTGTCACCAAACGGGGTCGGAAAAAACAGCAGGACCCGCAAAATGGGGCTGGTTGTCCTGTTGGTTTCCCTTTCAACCCAAGAAGCGTACCGAGCAGCTCCGAAAAAGAAAAAAAAAAGACATTCTCCATTCCCTCGCCTTTTTTAGGGGAACGGTAAACCACAGGGCAACCCCAAAAACTGGTTGGGTCCTCCAAAAACAAAAACTTGGGGGCCCCCCCCTCTTTGGGCCGGGGTAATGCAAATGCCTTGGCCCCTGGCCTCCTTTGCTTTGCCTGTCGCAAGGCTCAGTCTCCGAGACTCCGCAAGCTTCGGCTTCGGGCAGTCAGAGCTTGCTTTTTTTTTTCTCTCTCTTCGCAAAAGCGACGTATCTCGAAGTCTGTACTGGAGCGCTCAGGAGCGGCTTGAGCCAGTCTGTTCCATGCCACCCACACTTGGGATGAGCCGCGCGTTGCAAAAATCTGATCAGCCCCAACTCGAGAAGGCAGGTGTGCAGCTTGGCAAAAGTGAGGTCCATGAGGTCTTTTTCTAGCAAAGCTCCGAAATGGCTTCGGCTTCCATCAAAAAACAGGTACCAACTCCAAAGGAGCCATGTGCCAAGAAGCCAAACACCACCAAGCACCCAGGCCACTCATGGGAGCTCGAATTCGAGAGTCTCCCTTCGGGAGCAAAAAACAGAGCCCTGAGCCCTTCGGCTCGATGTGGAAGACTGAGGCAGTTGAGAAAAAGACCGGCCACACGGGGGTGATTTGGGTGTGGCTCCAAATTCAACAGCTGGGGTTACGCAGGGTGCCATGTTGGCTACATTTCGTTTTGAGCCACGGCCATTTGCTTTTTGAGGGTGGCTGTTTCAAGGTTGGTTCAAGGGGAAAGCAAAAAGAAAAACAACTTCCCTAGTGGATTGGCCAACAAAAAGGTCCCCAAACTGTTTATTGACCGGTCTTCCCAAGTATAGAAGTCCAAGACTTTGGGGGCTGACACCATTTGGTTGTGGTTGTAAAACCGTTTTGGGATCCCATTTTGGTTGGTAGGTGAATTCACCCATTTTAGAACCTATTTTAGTGGTTGGATTGGGATGTTCACTGGGGGGTAACCGATTTGGCTTTTCGCATTTCCATAAAAGCGGTCGCCTTTTCCCTTGATAAATCCGGTCTCTCCGGCCTCTCCGCCCGATCACATGCCACTCACGCGGGCGGCATCCCTGCCACCGAGACCAAATTGATGCAATAGCCTCGGCTTGAAACTGCCCGAAACTGGTCCGTTGGCTAAACGGCGAAGGCGTGCTTGCATCAAGCATGTAGACGTTCACCAACTAGAACTGCCGCCCTGGTTTCAGCTTCCCTTTGATTTGCACGGCTCCCAACCCCGAAAAAAAATACCCAAGCAAGCAACATGGACAAATAACTTTGAAAACCCCAATAACATGGGCACCAAAACATGTCTGCGCGCTTGCGCAGGTCTGCTTGCAAATGTGCTTTTGCCCGGCCGCGATTCCCGCGGCTGTCCGGCAAATTGTGGCCCAAGTGGGTGCCATCAATGCTGACCGTCTCGCCGTCCGGCAGCACACGCACGCTCTCTGTGACAACCTCCTGAAGGAAAAACCCACGCAAGAGACGGGGAACCACTTCCCTCAGCCTCCCTACTGGTTTGGATCGGTTCGGAGGTGGTTGCATTTGCGGTGTAGTTGCTCTCCAGAATATCCAAACCACCAACCTGAAAGTTATCTGATCCTTCCGTTCACCCCATTTCTGCCCCCTTGCGAAAGAAGAAAGAGGCAAGTCCCGACGTTCAGTCTGTGACTGCGCCAGGATATTGAATGTTGACAACAAACAGCACCTGCATGCTACAAGCACATCATGTGCAAAACAGAGGCGAACATGGACCTGTTGCAGTTCCGAGTTGACCTCGCGCGCGGGACTCCTACCCCCAGGCAAGGGATTCTCAGGACCTGAGCTGTACCGCGCCAATCCCTGGGAAAAAGCCATTGCTGGTGGGTCAAGGGAAACCCAACAGCAAAGCCAAGCCTTTTGGACGGTTTCCCTTGAGCAAAGAAAGGCACGAGCCCCACATGTCTCACTTTGGAAGGCGTCAACACGACCAAAAAAAAACGGGAAGGGGCACGCGAGCAACTGCACCAAGCGTGCCACAGCAAGGCGCTTGAAGTTTCAGCGTCGGCCTTTGATGGCCCTTAGCCCAGAATGAGCCCGGAAAGCATCCGCCCGCTTTCCGGGCCTGACTTGGATTTCCATATCCACGGCACCAACTGCCTGTAGGTTGAACGTTGCCTCCAGTTGTTTGCAGGTGCTTCAGAGTTCATGTTGGATGGTTTAGGATCAATTTCGAGCAGGTGTCGGGAGGGTTTAACAGGTTTCAGGTAGGTCTCTAGCTGATTCAGGGCACATTTGAGCTGGGTATCCGAGTGACTTTAGGGTCAGCATTGATTTCATTGGCGCGGGTGTTACATTGATGGATATTGATGGAGGGTGCTCTTGCTCTTTCACGGGATCCTCCGGAGAACCTGTGCGAGTTCGCTTACCGCCCGAAATCAACCTTACCCTGAATAACAGCGTTTTGCCCCACTCCCCCCAAAACCACCCCTCCCCTCCCCGAACCCCCTCCCCCCCCGTTTTGCCTGGGAGTATCCCAAGCCCCAACAACGTTCCATTTCTTGATTCCACTTGATGTCCAGAGGGTCTGAACCCTGCCCCGTCCCAAAAGCCCAAACACCCGAAGACCCAACGAGCCGTCCTCATCGCGGAAGGAGGGCCAACCGTGACTCTGAGACTCCTCAGGCGAGACCAAGCCCCAGGTATCTGCATTGCAGCTTTGCTAGGATACCCATCCAAGGGAGGTGGGTGCCCCCCCAAAAAAAACAGGGATCCTTACATCATACACCTGAGCATTGCCTTGTAAATGGCGGTGTCCTTTTATTTTGTTGGAAAAAGCCATGTTTCAAATGGGCAAAATGTATCTTTGTAAGGAGCCCTGAAAAACCGTCTATGAGCCTGAAGGACAACCTTCCAAGTGGACCGCCAAGGTCTGGCTCAGGAAGCCCAATTAATAGCTTTCCAGACCTTAGCGAGGCAGGTCAGCCATTACGACCGGCGCCCGCGAACCAGCCTGGCATAGATCTTTGCGGAGGAAGAGGTCAAGGGCGCGGCACATAGTTTGGGTTGGCAAGCGTTTTCCTGGCTGGTTTGATCCTTCGTCAGTTCAGAGCGCATTGCAGCAGCTGAAGGCGCGCCACTCTTTCAACAAGGCGCTCAATCACACAAACTTGCCGCAAATGAGTAGCTGGTGGTGCAGTTGCGGGTTTCGTGTCCCTGGCAACCTCAGCTATTGCGGGAGGTGTGGTGAAGATTGGCAGCAATCGCGCTACAGTGGTTGGAGCCACCAAGAATGGAAAGGGGATGCAGACCCTGCAAGGACAAGAAGCCAATCGAGGAGACAGCGCAAAAAGCTTGCCAAAGAAGCCCGAGCAGCAGAGGAGAGAAAGAAAGAAGCTCCCTCTTTTCAGGTGCCGCCAGACTTGCGTTCTTCTGGGCTGTCACAGCAGCCCTCGCAGCACAGCAAGGTTTCTGCCAGGGATGTTGTGGAAGGCATGAGCAAGCAGAACGTCCAGTACTACAGCTTGGGAAAGGATACCGCAGCAGTTCCTACGCCGGCTTCCTTGGATGCCAGTTTTGCGCACCAGGACACGCCGAAGGACGGCCTCAGCAAGGACGCGCAGGAGCTTGCCCGTTTTGTCCAAGAGATGTCACTCAAAGGTGGGGTGAGTCTCAGCCCACAGTTGCAGGCGGTTGTGGACAAGCTTGCCGTGGAAAAGCCCTTGGCGCCTCAGCTGAGAGGTCAGACGAACCAGCTGCAGATTCAACGCAAGCTGGCCAAGATGCGTGCATCAAAAGAGCAGTTGCAGACGCAGTGGTCCAAATTCATCTTGGACATGACTCAGTACTCGCAGCTCCGCAGGAACGAGTTCAACGCTGCGCTGACACAGTTGCAGGATCAGATCACGGAAGCTGCGGAGCAGGAGCAGCTGATTCAGAGCCAAATGCAGGAGCTTCTGACGCAAACCAAGGAAGACGTGTCTGGACCGCCCAACAAGGCAGAGGTGATCAGTGGCTGCGACCCCTCCGAGTTGCTTGCCAAGCTCCAAGCAGATGCACAGCCTCCGAAGCCGCCGACCTTCGAAGTGAGCGATTTGCTCTCAGACGACGAAGAAGCGGAGAAGAGCGATCTCGACATGGAGGCGACACGGTGCAAACGCAAAGGGGGAGAGTCAGATGCTGCCAGTTTGCCTTCAAGAACCGAGCTGGAAGCCGAGCTTGCAGAGGAGGCCAAGAACGCAGAGCTCGAGCAGACAAAGGCAGGCTCAGACAGAGCCAGATCCCGGTCCCCGCAGACATGGCAAGAGGTCAAAAGCCGCTCCAAGCCGCGAAAGCCTGCCATGCAGGTTTTTCGCGGGGCTGGAGCAAAGAACGGGGGCAAGTGACGTTTGCTGAGGCGGTGGAGTTGCTCTACTTTCTGCCTGAGCTGCCGGCAAGTAGGTTGCTAGAAAGCGTTTCCGGCAGTTTTCCAGTTGTACAGAGTGCTCGCACCGCAGCCGCAGCTCTCAATCTGATTTCTGAACAACTTGTTGAACTTTGCGGTTGGTTGGTTGGTTGGTTTGGCCCCCGGTCTAAATGGTGGTTTGCCTAGTGCCGCAGACGCCGTGCCTAAACAAGCTTTTGACACAGACCGTGACGCATTGTCCCACGCCAGCCAGCATGTTGTGCTGGATGAGCCGCCAAATGCCATTTTTGGATGTGGTTATGCCATAAATGGTTCCCGCGGTTGTGTTCCCAGCAACAAAAGCGCAAATCAACGACCTGGCGCCTGCTTGAAGCAGACAAGCAGTTTGGGTTGTGGTGACGCCCTAACTGTTCCCGCGTCCAAACAAGCAGTAAATGGATGCAGCAGTTGACACACGCTTGCCCAGTTCTGGATGTGGTGAGGCCAGAACTGACCATGGCTCTGCGGAGCTGCTGCGTGCTGCATGTGAGGTGGACAAAGGGTGGATCGACCTTTCTGGTCCTATCAGTTTGCTCCATAACCTGCTTGCCAGATCTGAAGACATTCATGATATAATCAGCCCTGACGTACCAAGCATTGAGTGGCATGAAAACACCACAGAGGCATTGCGATGGGTCAAGCACGCAGTGCCCTTGCAGATAGATAAGCTAGTCGTATACACGGATGGGTCGGCGCAGCACACTTGGAACAATGACACAGCTGC